CGACGAGTCAGTGAGGGCTTGTCCCGATGAGCTTGAGCATGCGATAGCTCGACGAGTTAGGGGGTTAACTCGACGAGCTGAGCTGGACTGTCATGAGACTTCTGAGGAAAGTAAGTGGACTCGACGAGTCGCAAGGGTGCACTCGGCGAGTCCGGTCAAACATGGACTGTTGACTCGAGTTTGACTTCTGTTGACTTTGGGGCTTTGATCAACATAAGTAGTAGAGACCATGGAGGGGTAAAATGGTCTTTTATCCACTTCAAAAAGTTAAAGAGAGGAAGAATAGCCTTCGGTCATTAGAGTTGTGATTAGAGTATCACTTAGAGATATTCATCCCTTGTGTTAGGTGGATGCTAGTTCGAGATCCGAGAGCGGGGTCTTTACTTGCTGCTGGCCAGGTGAGTCTTCTCACTATACATTACCTAGAGTGGTATCTATATGTAGACCGGAGGGTCTTGTGTGCTATGTGTATGTATGAGATTATGTGCATTGTGATATATGTATGATATGTGTTGTATAGACCGGACCGGAGGGTCCAACGATATAGACCGGACCGAAGGGTCCAACGATATAGATCAGACCGAAGGGTCCAATGATACAGACCGGACCGAAGGGTCCAACGATCTATGACCGGACCAGAGGGTCCAACGAGCTACGGGACTGGAGGGTCGCACTGTAGCCTCGAGTGGCGTATGTGTTGTATGTGGTATTTTGGGGAACTCACTAAGCTTCGTGTTTACCGTGTTATGTGTTATGTGTTTCAGGTTGTTCTCAGGAATCGCGGGAAGGCACCGGCTTGATTGTACACACCAGAGAAAGAGTTATGTTTTGAGGATCCTGGATTTTTAATGGAGTTGTGTTTTGTAATTTGAATAAACGAGATTTCCATACAATTTGTTATGAAAAGTATGCGATTTTAAAATGAAAAATATGTTCGAAAAATTACGGTGTTACACTCTATATTTTAAAGGAAGTTATACCTGTAATTGTTTGTGTGTTTCCAAACGATCACCATCATCGTTTGTTAACTTAATTACAACATGATTGATAACTTAAAGTGATTACAACATGACTGGTAACTTAAAGTGAAGCTATGTTGTTAATTATACATAACATCGACAATGCACATCAACATACAAAATTAACAATGGTGTCTTATTATATGGAGAAACAAAAAGATGCATATTGCATGACTAGGAAGAAAATATGCACACAACAAAATATTTTGCTATCTTCTTATTTTAATCCATTAATAATTCAACTCATCAACACAAAACGTAGTAGAGCAAAACTCCTTTATGAGTAAAAACAAAAACAAAAACAAAAAATTGTCATAAAAGTCATAAATGGGAAGTGAGAGGGTAAATATGTAAAAGATAACCATAAAAGAAGTTTTAATCCATAAAACAACTAGGGGTGAGTATGGTGCGGTTTGGTGCGGTTTTAGGATCAAACCGAACCGCAAACCGCAATGTGCGGTTTTTGCATTTTAGAAACCGTTGGGTGCGGTTTTTCAATGGTTCGTTTTTGCGGTTTTCAAATGCGGTTTCGGTTTGTATCGGTTCGGTGTCGGTTTTAAACCGAGTCAAGCATATGGTTCGGTTTTTTATGTTCGCCGGTGCATTTTTTTTAATCATGATATTCATATAAAGATTTATAATTGTATGCAATGGTTTAGAAACCACGCTTTTATGTTTTTAAGGTTGATTACTTGATCATTTCATTTCCAACTCATAATCTCATTTGATTATTTCATTTGCAACTCATAATCTCACTTGATTATTTCATTTACAACTCATAATCTCAAACTCATTCATTTTGCACCTACAAACATGCAAGTTGTATCCCACGTACTCTTACAATTTACACATAGTCACTAAGTTACAAACACAAAGTAAGAAACTCACAAAGTATAACTATTATTATGATAAAGTAAAATAAAATAACTAAGGTAAATTCCTACAAACATATTTTTATCAGCAACAAAAAAGAACAAATATAAATTCACTTCTCTAAGTAATATATATTATGTAATCATAAACGATCCACGAAATGTCATGTATAATTGTATATAATAAAAATTTATGATTTATTTTATTGTTTATATAGTAGAATTTATTTGTTTTTTAAATAATATGTAAAATTATATATAATATAAATTACTGATTTATTTTATTGTTTATACACTTGCGGTGCGGTTCGGTTTTGGTGGACCGGTTTCTTATAAAAACCGCACCGCACCAATAAATTCGGTTTTTGTGAAAATAAAATCCGCACCATCGGTTTTTGCATCGGTTTCGGTTTTTCGGATGCGGTTTGAGCGGTTTTTCTTTGACCGGTTCGGTAAGAGATTATTTATGTATAAACCATCGCATTACTTTGCTGGGTAAGAGATTATTTATGTATAAACCGAAAATATCACTAGCTAACAAAATCATATGTAAAAGCTCTACTTCTGGTCAAAACAAAAGGTGCCATTATAATTAACGGGTTTTCTAAAAGTATCCCCTCTTTTTCCAATTCCACCCCCTGATTTGACTTTTTGTCTTTTGTTGTTTTTTTTCTATTTTGTTTTTTTGTTGTTTTTAATTCTTTTTTAATTTATTTTTATTATTATTATTATTGTTATAAATTTCGCACAAAATTTTAACATTTTGACGAAATTATAAATTCGAACGGCTATATGAAGTCGGTTTTTAAATATTTTTTATATTTTAATATTAATATTATTATTATTATAAATTTCGAATAACATTTTATAAATCGGGCATTATAAATTTGAATGACTATATAAAATTGGAACAAAAACAAAGTTTGTCCATATTAATTACGGATATTAATT